GGGAGGCCGAGGCAGGTGTGGCACTTGAGGTCAGAAGTTTGAGATCAGCCTGAGCAAGAGCAAGACCTGGTGTCTACTAAAAATAGAAAAATAAGAAAATTAGTGTTGTGGCAGGTGGCTGTAGTCCCAGATACTTGGGAGGTTGAGACAAGAGAATCCACTTTAGCCCAAGAGTTTGAGGTGGCTATGAGCTATGATACCATGGCACTTTAGCTTAGGACAACAACAGAGTGAGACTGTCTCACACACACAAAAAAATCTTAACACTGATGTAAGCAGTAATTGGGAACAGAAAGAGAGGACATTTTCTTGGGCTATGAGTGAAAGACACGTAAGATCAAGGCCCAGTTCCACCTGTTATTAGCTGTGTGATAAAGCAAATTATTTACTTATTCTAAGCATCAGTTGCTTATCTATACCCTGGGGGATGACTCTGATGCCTTGTGTTTGCAGAAGTGTGTGTGGAGGTGCCTGGTGTTCAGGAGGGGAGCCAGCCCGGCTCACTGCTCTCTTTCTTTGATTCTGAGTACTTTTTCTTTCCCCCTCCAGACCCGAATGCAGATCAGACTGCAGGATTTCATCTCCAGATGCCGCAGATCAGGACTGCTACATCTCATTTGGAATTGGAAAATTTCTCAGACCAGAAGTGACTTCTAATTTGACGACATTCACTTTACAAATGAGAAAGCTGAAACTCAGAGAATTTAATGCTTGGGACAACATAATCTTTCTTACTCATTCCTTTTACTCTGTATTTCAAAGAAGGCTGCTCTAACAGCAGTGCTAAGAACCTCTCCTCACAAATATCCTGAAAACAATTTGTTACCCACAGAGATAGAGATAGTGGAATGAGGTGGCCAGAGGCTCAGCAGACCCATTTTCAAAGGCCATCTCCACCACTAATCCCGCAACCCTACGACTTTTTTTTTCACCTATAAGAGGACCGTTAAGTCATCGCTAATGCTCCTTCCAACTATGATTCCTGAGGAAATCAAGTCCATTTCTTTAAAGATGTAATTTCCAGTATTTTCCACCAGGGGGCAGAACATCTTTACAGACATCTGAGCAGAGTTACACAAAGGACAGACAAGAACTAGCACAGATTTTCAAAGCATG